CATAATAACTCTTGTTATCAGTAATGTCTGTATACCACTATAGCCACTATTGTCATAACTTCTACAAAATTCAAATACTTCTTTAAAAATGAATCCCTTTGTAATAATAATAGTAGTAGTAGAGTAATAGTAGTACGTAATAAATCCAAACTTTAATTAATAATCGGTTTTTCAATTAAATATCGTTTTTTGTACTTTTTTTTGCCGATTGAATATTTTTTGCTCAAGATGCGCGTTACACGATCGTGTACACCACATTAAAGCGATTTACTTTCTGTAAAATTTTAATCGCTTGTTGCACGCCAAACGCGGCTCCTTGAAGCTTTTTTTCTTTATCATGAAAGGTCTAGCACTTCTTTAATGAACCCCATTTTAATAGCTCACTTTATCAAACAAATATAATTCTTTTCTACATAATGTTCCACTTACGAGTCGATACCGTGTCACGCTTTCTTTTCCTGCGATCCTAGAGCATACCAAGGATTAGGTACATACATCGGATCTGATCTAATGGTTGGTAGGATCGAAACTACATCATTCTATAACCACCTTACCGTTATTCGTAATAATTGACGACTTTGTTCTAAGGTGAGTTTACAAATATTTCTTTTTTTTCTTCTTTTCAAATCAACCGATTGGCCCTCTTTGACTCCCAAGTCAATCGAAATCGACATAGTTTTAACCGATAGTCATGCGGGCTATCGCAATGATCAATATGATTAAATTCACCAATGTGTATGTTCGTATTAGGTATATTTTTCTATATTATTGACTTAACAAGCCTACCTATTTCGTGATTACAAATAGTATATATTTATAATCGAGAAAGAAATCTGCAATGAAATTATTAGTAATTGCTAATAATTATATGTATTATTAGCAGAAACACTGTGTATGTAATCCTACCAACGATTAATGACTGAATGTGGAAAAATATAAAACTTAACTAAATGTACACAACTTTTACTCTCGCCCCACACTCTCTTTCATACTCATCCATTCGTTGATCGCACGC